AGCAAGATATAGTAGATATGGCTTCATATACAATCTTCTTCTTGTTTGTATAAAAATGTTGGAGTGTGTGTGTCAAAGCTGGAACAAAAAAATAATTATTTTTAAAAATACTAAACAAAAATTAAAACATACAGTGGATAGAGCACTGGTCTGGAGTCAAAAGGATCTGAGTGCACATGTGGCCTCAGACACTTGACACTTACTAGCTGTGTTACCCTAGGCAAGTCACTTAACCCCAACTGCCTCACCAAAAACAAAAATTAAAACATACACAGAAACTAATTAAAATAACACACAATGCCAGACTGACTTCATTTTCTTTTTTGACAAGATATCTAAACTGGTAGACTGGGGAATACTTTCAACACACTTTTCTAGGTTTTAGCAAAGCACTTAACGTATTTCATACTACTGTTGTGGAAAAGACTGGAGGAGACATTGGTTAGATGACAGCACATTTAGGTGGATTTTAAACTGATTGAATGGTTGGACCCAAACAGTAGTCATTAGTGATTCACTGCCAACTTGAGTGTCACTGGTAAAGTTCCTTATGGATCTGTGCTTGGCTGTAATTTAACATTTTTCTCAATGATATCTAAAAGGCGGAGTTGGTCTGTTTATCAATTTGCAGACAACACGAGGCTGAAAGCAATAGCTGACACACTGGATGGCAGAGTCAGAATCCAGAAAAATCTAAACAGAAGAGAACATTGGGCCAAATAAGATACAATGTTTTGTTTTGGTTTTTTTTGGTGAGGCAATTGGAGTTAAGTGACTTACCCAGGGTCGCACAGCTAGGGTCATGGGTCTGAGACCAGATTTGAACTCAGGAAGATACGATTTCTTAGAAGATAAATGTAAAGTCTCCCACTTGAGCTAAAAAAAAATCAACTTTATAAGTACAGGATAGGGAAGGCAAGGTTAGCTAATACAAAGTAAGAAAAATCTCTGGGTGATTTTACTATGTTGAAAGATCAATGAATGAATCAACACAGTAGCTATCAAGAAACCTAATGCAATGTTAGGCTACATAAAGAGAGGCCTAGTGTTGAGGACTAGAACGGTAATTGTTTGGATATGCTCTGCCCTGATCAGATCATACCTGGAATATGATGTTCAATTCATTTTAGGAACTTTATAAGCTTTAGTGTCCAGAGAAGGGCAACTCAGTTGAAAGGTCTAGAGGTCATGCAATACGAAGAATCAGAAATATTTAGCCTGCAGAAGAGACTTAGGGGGAAATATGAGTGTTCATGTATTTGAAAGGCTGTCACATGAAAGAAGGTATTTGTATTCCTAGGCCCCAGAGGACGAGACTATAAAATTAATTTAAATTAAACTTTTATTCCCATGGGGAAGAGCAATGGGTAGAAATTGAAAGGATGCTCATTTGGATTTAAGGCACGGAAAAGTATCTTAAGAACTAGAGCAATTCCAAAATGGAATAGCTGGTTTCAGAGGAAGTGGGTTTCCACTTGCCAGAGTTCTTAAAGCAAGGTTTGGATGACCAGTCATCAGGTATGTTATAATAAGGATTCTTGTTTGCAAAGCATTTCCTAAAAGATGATCAGGGAATAGAAAACCACAATAGGTAAAGAAATGGTAAGAGAACACTGGCTACCTTCAATGTTGTTGTTTAGTTGTTTTCAGTCGTGTCAGACTCTTTATGATCCTATTTGGGATTTTCTTGGCAGAGAAGTGGCTAGTAAGCTTACCAGTAAGCTAGTAAGTGTCTGAGGTCAGATTTGTACCCAGGAAGATGAGTCTTACTGACTCAGGTCCAGTAGTCTATCAACTGGCAGATAGAACACTGGGTCTGCAATCAGGAAGACCTCAGACACTGACTGTGTGACCCTGGGCAAATCACTTAACTCTGTTTGACTCAGTTTCCTCATCTGTAAAATGAGCTGGAGAAGGAAATGGCAAACCACTCCAGTATCTCTGCCAAGAAAATCCCAAATGGGGTCATGAAGTCAGACACAACTGAAACAACACAACCCTTAAACTATATGTGTAGACTCTTGAGGTCCTTTTCTGAGCTTCCTTTTGTTTGTTTTTAACTTGATCTAATATTCTATGAACTAAGCCATAGGCACCTTTTTTAAAAAGTTTGGCAGTGAAGGGAAAGAAACGGAGTGGAAGCTGGAGATAGCAAAAGGGTTGAGGGTACTGGCATAAGTTTTTAAGTAGATGGGAAAGAATCAGTGAAAGAGAGAGACTAAAAATACATGAGGGAATGACTGTAAGGGTAAGATCCCAGGAAAAAGTGGAAGAGAATGGGATCAAGGGTGAAGGTAGAGTTATTAGTCGTAGCCATTAGAACGCAGCTTTTCTGTGACCACTGGGAAGAAATTGAAAAGGAACAATGATGCTGTGAAATTTTGAAGAGAGGAGTTAAGGCTCTCTTCAGACAGCTTCAGTTGTCATAGTGGAAGATAGCCAAGTTTGGGTACTCCAAGATTTAGAATGACACTCAGAAATTCATCTCTCCCTAATATATTCCTTCATGGCCCAGCTTAGCTGTCATCCCCTTCACAAAGCCTTCCTTACATCTCCCACCTACTGCAAGTGATCACTCCCTCTCCAAATTTTTCTTGAAGGACTGTATCTGCATCTCACTTTTGCCCTCATTACATTTATAATTATTTGTGTACATGTTACACCTTCTATCTCCATTTAGACTAAACTCTGGAGAAGATCATCACTTTTTATCTTTACACTATAGTCCCTACCAGTTGTCTTGAACATAATAGGGAGCTGATAAAATGTTTTTCAAAGTGAAATGAATTGAATAGAGCTACTGTAAGGCATGAAATTAGTTTAAATTACATTAAATTTGTATCCATGACAGAGTTTTTCTGTGCTTAAAATTGAATCCAATTCCAAGTTTCACTTTTACCTATGTATATTTTTTTAACAGTAAACGCCCTACATTTATGTACCTCATTTTAAGAAGGTGCATATTTACCCATGCTTTCAGACCTAACTGAATTGATTCTCAAACCTCAAAGACCTTTAGGGTAGTGTTCTTCTATAAAACAAGTGAAATGCAGAAAAAGCTGCAAAATCAGAAACTAAACTAATGCAATGTTTTTCTACCATACTGCCTCTATAATAGTTAAGATCTTAACAACTCCTGTTGGAAAATAACAGATTTTAAAATATATTTCCTTCATACCCTCAGGAGATCTTAGCATTCTTTCATAATCTGAATGCCGGCTACCAAAAAAAAAAATTAAATGAATAATTCAGGATGTCGCTTAAAAACACAGCTTTCCTGGGCTTCTCAATAATAATTGACACCAATGGAAAACAAAATCTTCTCTGACAACACTCTGGCAGAAATTAAGCTGCTTTACCCTGTTGTTATCTGACAAGTATTTTTCCTGTTATGGCAGGGCCGGTTCATTTTCTATAGAATGCAGAGTAACATTTTAAAAAAAAATTCTTAACAACAGGAAATCCAAAGTAATTATTTCTCTGAGAAGTCTTAAAAAAACCACTTTTAAGAGCATTCTTAACACTAGTACTGCAGGTCACAGACACAAACAGCCTATTTGCATTGCAAAAATGCTGCCGAGGTGAAAGGCAACTACAAACAGATTTGACTCCTAATGAAGAAAGTTTGCAGATAACTTCCTTGTGCTTTGATTCTTAGGTTGCCAGGGCACCAGCATGACTAATAAGATAAATTAGCTAACAGGAAATCCTTTATGTCTCCCTATTATCCTTTCTGCTCACAGACCGAATAATACAGAAATGCTGCACCTGTAAACTAGGGGGAAAAAACCTTGGGAAACAAACCAATTCTGTTGTAACTCAAGCACCCCAAAGTGTCCCAGTGAGGTACAGTGATCTAAGGATTACCTTTGTAAAAGAGAATAGCCGGATTTTGTGGAACGTGGCTGTTTTGGCTTGGTGGTATCTGCAGTACTGTAACATTAAGGTCAGGATACAGCTGTCTGGTGACTAAACCCACATTCAGTGAATAAGTGCTATCCCATCACCAGACATTACCAGACATCTGTTTCCTGTTTTCATTCTTTGGGTTGTCATTCTATTCGGGTTTCCCTTTCACCTGTAGGCCTCTTAAGGCAAACACAACAAAGTATGTCCATCCATTTGGTTATAATTTTTTAAAAAATCACTATTACTAGGAATAAATTGGTCATTCTGTTTCAAATAGGGGATCCAGAGTATACATTCTATGATTGTTACATGGCATAAACACTTTTGTTTTGGTCTTCATTTAGGTGACTAACTTCCTTCTTTACTTCCAACTGAAAACCTTTCCTGTTGGAGCAGTACCATAACCTCCAGAAAATACAATTGTCAATTGATTCATACAAAAGAGAAACCCATAACAGCACAAATAAGAGAAGGTAGTAAATAACCAAAACTGGATGCAGTAATTAGAGGCTGCTTTTCAAAGAATTAAAAGGTATCTCTTGTAATTTAAGGTTTTATACTTTATAAAAGAATCAGGATGTAGAATAGGATGCAACAGGGAAGCTAATTTCTGTGCAAATAATTTGAAAGCAAATATGTTTTCTTCTCAGCCTAAGTCAATACCTTTAAAATGATGCCCAAGTTTACATTTACCCTAGAGGGTAAACAGCTTTAAATTACTAGTATAAAACTTTTGTGTCAAAGTGCCTGTCAGAAAGTTGAGAAAAGAAGGTATTAAAAAAAAAACAAGGTAGCCATTAAGTACTCCAAAAATAGAACTGTGGAAAAGTTTCCATTCTCTCTAAGGGAAGGCATTATAGCATCATCTTATTTCAGCCTTTTTTAATTTGCAAGCTAAGATTGACAAAGTACTCCCCACAACAGAAAAATTCACCAGATGAGTATGTAGTTATATTTTAAGAACTTTGTCATTTTTAGACATGGGACAGTATACTGAACAAAAAATTCAATCATTCTGCACTGTCTCCACATTTACTGTTTGGTCTGTCACTTAAAATTTGTGTTGTAGTTTAATCAGCAGTGAAAAGGTATAAGGACAGTAAGAGAAATAATTTATTAAAAAATATTTTCACAAATACTGTGCACACTAGCATATAAGTAATGATCTGAATTTTTCTAAATAAAAACTCAAACTTTGACCTCCAGTTGCTAGAGCTGGAATTTATCTCAGAGACTAACAGAGGCTTATTTCCCCTTCGGGTGCTTGAACCCCTGCTAAATCAGCCTATGGATCAATGACACTCGACAAAAACACATTCTACAATATGCAGTGATGAAAAGGACAAATGAGGCATGCAAGAAAACTTCTGACTAAATGATTTCTTCTGACTACTTAAAAGCATTGAGGATACAAGTCTGATCTCCAAAGTCTATTCCGCAAAAGAGGCCTTGTGTATGTTTCATCATAGTACACAGACTTAAGTTTTGTCCAATATGGCTTCTCATAGACATTTTATTTTGATTTTACCTATTAAAAAAAAAAGGAAAAATGCATCATGCCAAAATCCAGCACCCAACATTTTGAGTCTGGTGGAACAGGAAAATGAAACAAGAAACGGTGAGCATTCTAGGCTCATTTTTCCAGTATTCCTGAGACAACTTTTTTCTCTAAGTTTAGAATTTATGAGCTATAGTATTTAAGAAGGTTTTCATCTGTGGGCTTCAAGATTTTCTTTTCAGCCATATTTACTACCCAACCTGGAGCAAGACCAAAGAAAATCTGCCTTGGATCCTTTCGAGTACTCAGCATTTTGAAGAGTTCATCTTTAGTGATGTCAGGTAAAATGTAACCATATTTCTTGGCTAGTTCAAGTCTTGCTTCAGGAAACTGGGCTGGATCTGCCAGGTATCCACGGTTCCTAGGATCAGTGTAGTATGGCACCAATTCTTCAGGTGGGAGCATTCTCTTGGGAATAGGTTTTCCACGAAGAAAAAATGGAACAGGTTTGCAGAGAATCTCTATTTTAAAAATGGAGATATAAACATTAGCTATGTAGATCACTAGCTTCTTTTATAAGCTACAAATTTTCTTTAATTCATCTTCCCATGCCAAGAAAACTAAAGAATAAATTTAACACTAACAATGCTTCTGTTAAATACTTATCCAAAGTAGGCAAACATAACTGGAAAATCTACCTTCCAAAGACCAACATTAAACATTAGTATTTAAATGTACACTTTGCAGCAAATGAAAATGGGTTTTAAAAAGGGATAAGTTTATCTACCTCCTGACAGAGAGGTGATGGACTCAATATGTAAAATGAGACATACATCTTTTTTGGACATGACCAACCTGGAAATTTGTTTTCTTGACTATATTTGTCAAAAGTTTTATATTTTTTTTATTTTGGGCAGGAGAGAAAGGGAGGGAGAAGGTAGGGCAGAAGGGAAAGAAGATAAATGTTTGGCAATTGAAAAATGCTTGAGAGAGGATTCTGGGAAGATGGCACAGCAGGTCAGAAAATTCCAAGCTCTCCAGATTTCCCCCACAAATAAGAAAAAATAACCCCTCTGGGTGAATGGATAGCCATAAAAATTAAAAAAAAAAATTGGGGCAGAACAGTGGTTTTCCTGGTACAACTTGAGAAGATCCAAAGAAAAATTCCAGGACAAAGGTTTGATCCCTGTGAAGAGTAAACACCTCCAGGCTAGTTCTGCTTAAACAACAAGCAGTGAGCCCTGCGTTGAGAGGTAGACTGGGCCCCAGCCACAAGAATTTTCACCTCCTGGGCAGTGTGTGGAGTTGGACATCTGAGCAGGGGAAGATTAAGGGAATCTCTACTGATAAAGGATGCCAGACCCAGCTGTGCTGCCAAGACTGGGCCCTGAGCAAGAATGAACCAGCACAGGCCCGTTGAGTGCAGAAAAGTAGGGCAGGGACACAGCTGGCTGTGGGCACTTACAGGAGGTCAGAGTTCTTAGTTTCAGGTTTGAGGCCAGAAGGGAGAACTGAAAGAGGATCTGAGGCCAGAGATACCATCGCCCACACCTTAGGACTAGAGGTAATTACAATAAGCTGCTACAAATAAAAAAAATGAGTAGAGAAAGGAGAAAGAATACAATAGAAAGTTACTATGGGAATAGAGAGGACTGGGGTTCTTCTTCAGAAGAGGACACTGAAGCAAAAAAGGCCTCTCCAACCCCAAAGAATAACGTCAAATGGTCACTTGCCCAAAAAGAATTCACAGAAGAACTTAAAAATTTTAAGATTTTAAAAATCAAATGAAAGAGACTGTGGAAAATTAAAAAAAAAGAACAATCCAAGAAAAACAAGAAAATTATGAAAAGAAAGTCAACCAACTGAAAAAAGGAGATCCAGAATCTTAAGGAATGACTCCTTGAAAATTAGAATTGGGCAAGAGGAAGTCAGCAAAGTTATAAGACACTAGGAAATACAAAATAAAATAGAAAGAATGAAAAAACAGAAGAGAATGTGAAATATCTCATAAGAAAAACAAATGCTCTAGAGAGAACAGATCAAGAAGAGAAAACATAAAAATAATCAGACTACCTGAAAGCTATGATCAAAAGAAGGATCTTGATACAAGAACACAAGAAATAATTAAATTGTCCTGAAGCGATAGAACAAGAAGGCAAAGTAGAAATAGAAAAAACCCATCAATCACCACCTGAAAGAGATCCTATGAGCAAAACCTATAGGCAAATCACAGTTAAATTCCAAAACTCTCAGCTCAAGGAGAAACAAGAAGGTAAAAGGAAAGGGTCACAGGAAGAGGATAAGGGAGGGATCTTTGGTGGGGGACAGCTTAAGTAACAGGAGGGCAAAGTAGTGAGTAGAAGTAGAGAAGTCAGGAGGCATAGGAAATAAGAGATATACACAAACATAAAATAAAAGATCAAGAGTAAAATTTATTAGGAAAAAAACAGGTAGTAATCATGATCTCAGACAAAGTTAAAGGAAAAATAGATTTAATCAAAAAAGAAAAATAGGGAAACTACACTATATGTCAGTCATATTAATCAATATTGTTTTAGACTGAAATAACTAAACAGTATAAAGTTGGAATATTGCTATGGTGCCGGAATGATGAGTTGGTGGACTTAGAAAAATATGGAATGCCTTAGACTTATGAAGGAAGATGCTATCCACCCTCAGAGAAACAGAGGACAAATAAGAATAGTACAGTCTTACATAGATGCATATGAATGTATGTGTCTATATGAGTATGATTATAGATATCTAAGTATATGTAAGTATATATGTGTATCTGTGTGTGCGCGCGCGTGTGTGTGTCTGTGTCCATGCTGAATTGTAGCCTTCTTGAGGAAGAGTAAGGAGGAAGGTGGAAAAAAAAGAAAAAAGAAAAAAGGAAAAAGTGCACAGCAGAGAATAAACTTAGAAAGAAGCAAAGAAAAGATGGACAGCACTGAACACAATGTGTAGTATTTATTATACAGACTTTCCTGAAATGGAAATTTATTGCTGTATATTTTGAATCCTCTCACATTCTGCTGTGCACATGGCAATACTTTTTTAAAATTTTATATTTAAGTTTACAATCTGTTTCTTTTTTCTTTTCTTACTGTGTATTTAAGTTTTAATATTTAAGTTTAAAATAACTAATAAAAAATAAAAATACATATAAAATTAAAATTTTAAAACAAACAAAAAGAACAGGTCCTATTTTTATATGATTTGAGTCCCATTTATAGTCACCGTTAACATAGGACCAACACCATAGGATTGAAAATGGAATGGACTTCTAATGTCAACAAGTCCAACCTCTTCACTTTTCAGGTAAGGAAAATGAAGCCAAGAGATGTTAAGTGATTTGCTCAAGATCATCAACAAGAAGAGGCAGAGCTGAAAATGATACATGACTTTAGTTATACCTTGAAAAGTCTGGTGTAATAAATGCCGTAATAAAAAAAAAAAGAGATCTGGAAAAGCTGTAGGTTTACTGTGAAATAACATACGAAAGCCTTAAGTAATCTCTAGTTTAGAAGCCTAACTGGAAGAACTGTGGGGAATATAAGGATTTTTATAATAATCTAAATAACAAGCTACCTGGGAAATGACGGCAAACAACTTGATACCTAGAAAACAGCTATCTTGGGAAGGTAGGTGGTGCCACAGTACACAGAGCCTTGGGCCTAGAGTCAGGAAGACTGATCTGTAAAACGAGCTGGACAGGAAATGGCGAACCAGTCCAGTATCTCTGGACTCACAAATGGACTCACAAAGAGTCAGACATGACTGAAATGACTGAACAACAACCAAGGAGAACTGTAAAAATCAACATAGGGCTTGGAATGTCTAACTTCTTTCAAGGTTTACGTTAAGCGATAGCTCCTACTTTAGGCCTTATCTAACCCACCCAATTGTTAGTGCTCCTTTCTCCCTGAAATTACTTTGTATATATTTTGTATTGACTTACCCGTGTACATATTATTTTCCCACAGTAGAATATAATAAGCTGTTGTTCCCATGTTACAAATGCAAATAAACTAGTAGCAGCTTATTATGTTCAGGATTTAAAGAGACATGTGACATATGGCACTGGGCATCTATTATGCCTATCCATTATGAAGGGAAGAGTAAGAAAACAATAGACAAAACTTACCCAGGCTTCTTGGATCATAAAACGCTGTAGTAACAACACCACCATTTCTTTCAATTGCAGCTATGGCTAGCTCTGAAGCCAGCTGCACTTCAATATTAATTTTAGCCTTAAAGGTATCAGCACCCTGTTATGAGTTAAAACAACATCAATTACCACAGACAATCATAAAATATTTGGACCCGGGGGATGGGGGTGGGAACTGACTACAGCACACTTATTTTTTTCTGCTTAACTGAAATTTATTCCCAAAACCACTTGAACTGTAAAAAGTTAACTCATACTAGCAATTCCCATTCCAAACAATTTAAAGTCATTTTCCTGCAAAAATATTAATTCAGTATTTATTAAGCACCTGCTTTATACAAAGGTTACAAATCAAGAAAGGCTTTTATAAAAGAATCTTAGATGAACCTAGAAGGAAGAGAAGTATTTGTTCCTAGAATCAACAAGAAGCACCTAGAGTGTGAGTAGGAGAGTGACATGGTCAAATTTTCCCTTCAGGAAAACCACTTTGGTGGAAGATGGATTAGAAAGACGAGACTGAGATAGGAAATCAGTGTGGAGGCCATGGTAATAGCCCAGCCCAGAGATGATTAGGGTCTGAACTAGGGTGGTGAAGAGAGAGAAGCAGACCGATATGAGATACGGAATTATAAGATTTGGCAACTGAATGGATATGTGCAGCGAGGGAGAGTGAAGACCTGAGGATGATACCAAGGTTATGAAGGTTATGAACATGGATGACTAGAAGGATGGTTGTTTTATCAAGTGTAATAGATAAGTTTGGAATAAGGGGGGGGTCTGGGAACCAGAGGTGGGTATACTGAGGGGAAGAGAATTTTCCCAATGGCACCTTCAAAGCTGCTATTGTGGGCACCCTGGTTGGGGTTAGAGTCTAACTGCACTAACAGTCTAACTCCTGGCAAAGGGATGTGGGAATAAGGAGGAGTCTGGGAACTCACACAGAGAAGAGGGAACTAGGATAAGAGTTGGTATGGTTGTACTGGAAACAAATCCTATGTTAAGCCATCAAGGGAAGAAGAGATTGCAATGCATCTTCCTACTTTCCAACTTGCTGAACACACATCTCTTGGGGCCCAGCCCTGTGACCACTCTGGAGACCAATTAGTACAGAGGGTAGACTGGAAAGGAGAGAAACTGGCATCAAGGAGAGCAATTAGAGGACTATTATGGTGGACGAGATAAAAAGCGATGAGGGACTGAACTATGGTAATGAGAAAGAAGGGTGAGAGATGAGAGATGGATGATACACGATGGGAATAGGAGAGATAATGTGGAAATAGGATAGTTGGTATTTGACAAATGACTGGATGAGGGAGAAGAAAGAAAAGTCAAAGATGACACCAAGGTTTTCAGCTGGGAGACCAGAAATAAAGTGGTGTCCTTAACAGATAGAAAAGGTGGGACCAAGGATCACTATCACTTCACATTCTTTATCTACATCGAGAGCTACTACACCGTTTGCTTTCTCCAAGACTGAGAGAAATTTCAATCTGACCTACCCTTTTATCAAGAGGCCTTTTACCAGGAGATGACTAGTAACCTTTCTTCATTTTGTCAAATGTGAGAGGTACAGAATCAGCAGATCCAGATGACAGAGAGGTTCCAGATGAATAGCCAGAAGATGACAGGATTTAATTTAAAAAGGAGAATATGCTACTCCAAATGCAATAGTAAAGTTACTGACCAAAGTCTCAGTCTAGGTCCTACATTTCACAGATGAGGAAACTGAGAGCCAGAGAGTGTTTAGCCCAATAGCATACAAGTAGTAAGTGGCAGATGACTTAACTCTGGGTTATGTCACCGAATCAAGCTGTCTTTCAACTACAGTGTGATTACACTATGAAAAGCCTTAAGTATAAGTTAGTAATGAGTAGCATAGATATTACATTAGAGGGTAAGAGTGTTTTAATTGTTCCCAAACTAATACATTAAAACAACTTAGGGGAATCTTTAAAATTTCTAAGATACTATCATATTACAGAAAGAGAATTAATCTCATTCCTCTTGAGGAGAGATTTGAAATTAAGGGTTTTTTTTTCCTATTGTCTTTGATGCTCTCTTTCTACAATCCTTAATTCTGGTACTTATACATTCCATACATTCCTGGAACTCTTTTTTTCCAAAGGAACCTGCAAATACTTTTAGTTTAACATGAATACACAGTTCCCTCTAGTGGACACTATTTGCCATCCACTTGTTAAGTAAACCCGGTAAATGGAAATCTGAAGGTAGAAAAAATTTACTAAGGACTTAACAGTGTACCTCCTTAAGTAGCAAACTTCATTAGTACAATTAAAATAGGATGCCTTATAAAAAATTTGATCTACATATTTTTGATAAACATTTTTTAACCCAGTTACACTTATACGACTTGTTTGTGTTTAAAAAGAAAATAAATAAGGGTGAATGACCTACATTGGATAAATGGTTAAAGGATATGAACACAATTTACACTAATAGAAAATGACCATCAGTTCACATCTGAGACTTTGCAGATAAGTCACTGATAGAAATTAGATGGCTTGACCAGATCTTTCTGACTATCAAGTCCCAGAACTCTCTCTCTAAGCCTCTCAACTTCCCAAAACACAATTTATAAACAGACAAATAGCAAATACTGCAAGCACAAAAAAAAATATAGCTCTCCTGGTAATTAAATGACACCATTACACATCAAGGACTCTGTGATTACAGGCATGGGTATAACCTCCCTTTATCTAGATCATGACTGCTTTTTACTTTAGTTGTTGTGGTATCATTGTCAGCCTTGGACACTCATCTTCAGAAGATGAGTTGCTCTCAACTTAGCTAGACTAGTTTTGAGGAAAGACAAAATAGTCCAAAAGCTACTAGGTCAGATACTTAAAGACTTTCCAGATTAACAAAAGCTACCAGGGCTTATGCTCCACAGGCATAGCCTTGGAGAGCCTTAAGTCACTTCCATACCACTATCAAGCATGACAATAGAACTTTAGTGGAAAAGAATGTCTCCATTTAATACAACTATTAAAAGACAAAGTTGAGAGAGAGCTCAGGAAAATTATATACTACTAGTGGCACTGTAAGACGGGGTCATGGCTAGAACACTCTATTTGGAGTAAGAAAGAGCTAGGTTCAAATCCTACCTCTGATATTTACTAGCTGTGTGACACTGGACAAGTCACTTAACCTGTCTGGACCTCAGTTTCCTCACCTCTAAAATAAGAGGGCTGAAAAAAAAAACAATAAAAAATAAAATAAAATAAAATAAAAGGGTTGGACTTGACAACCTCTAAAGTTCTTTCTGGTTCTGAGTAAGCCTATGAACTATAAAATTACTTATACTCTTTGGCCCAGCAATTCTTCCATGGGCAATACACCCCTAAAGAAATAACCCAAAAGGAAAAAAATTATTAAAAAACTTATAAAAAAATTATAGTTTCACCATTCAGAGCAGGAAAAAACTGAAAACTAAAATGCCCATGAGAAAACTGCTTAAGGAAATAGACTACTTAGCTATTAAAAAAAGTCAAGTATGTAGACTATGTTGTCATATGCACCAAAGGGGTATTTAAAATAACCACACACTCTGAGAACTGGAAAGGGCCTCAGAAGCCAGTTAATATTCAGTGAAGAAGGCTTAAAACATGAACCTTCACGTAAGCACTAACTATGACAAAGTAAAAATATATGTACTTATATAAACAAAGATCCTAGGAGGATTTGGTGACTCTGATTTAAAGTGATTAGAATTTTGGATTTTTTTCAAAAGAACTATAACTCAGAAGATAACGCTCATTAGTTCTTTTGACTGCAAAATTGCTTAAGCTCATAATAAAACTGTGCGTGTATACAGATAGATACACATATATATTCCTATATGTATACACACAAAAAAAAGGCAGCAAGGCATTAGGAAAATGTGGGTTCACACACTACCTTTGCTTTTCAATAGCTGCCCTCCTACCTAGGATATTCTTCTTTTTCCCCTTTGCTTCCTCTATTTCCCTATATAAGGCCTTTCCCACTTCTGCCACCCCCCTCACCACTAACAATAATAACAATAATAACAGCTAACATTTCTATAGTACCTACTCTGTGCCAGGCATTGTGCTAAGCTTTTTACAATTAGGATCTCATTTGATCTATACACCAACACTGTGAAGTAGGTACTAGAGCTTTCCTTTGAGGAATACCTCTCATTTACACTGTATATATCTTGTGCGTCAATAGAACATAAGCTCCTAGGAGGCAAGTGTAGATTTCTGGCTTTCTTTGTATCCCCAGAACTTAGCACAGTGCCCAGCACATGGGAATTTCTCAAAAAATGCTTATTGGCTGATATTCGGGTTATGTGGTTCTGAAAAGTTACTTAATCTCTCAGGATTCCAGACAATTCTCTAAGACTAAATTGCAGAATGGTTGTAGATCTGCAATGGTTAAGGGAACTCTTTCACCAAGGATTGATGATACCAATTAAAGCATAGCTCTTGATTAAAATATATATAGATATATACATAAAGTAGGACATGCAGAATGCTAACCACCAAGAGACACAATAATGGTTCGTATGTATGTTTGTGCCTTGAGTACAAGTACTTCCATTTTTTTGTCTCTGCATCCTCAGCTTTAGGTAGACTTCAGGTCCCTAATAAACGGGGGCGGGTTGAATCGAAGAGAATTTCTATAGCAAGATAAAAGACACATTTTATACATACCTCCTCCACCAGCTGTACACCATAATCCCTTTTAAGTGGCTGAATGGTCACACCTCTTCCATTGACAAGCTGGGTTAAATCAATAGGTTGGGTAGGATCTACTCGACCTAAATCAATCAGGTACTGTAGTCTATTGAGACTCAAAGGATGGTACTGACGCCTAAAGCTAAAAAAACAAGAGGGTGAAAATAGAGTAAAGTTACAGTGGTTATACTGGTGAAGGCAGTACTTTAAATGGAAACCACTACCTACCTATTTCTCCCTTGCTGTGTCCACTGCCAATCAAACAAATAACTGTCAAGCTCTGATACAGTCTTTTATTTACAGACTGATTTAGGTATTTTAGGGGCAGCTAGGTGTTGAAGTGGATAAAGTCCTGGGCCTAAAGTCAGGAGGACTTGAATTCAAATCCAGCCTCAGACACTTACTAGCCATGTGACCCTGGGCAAGTCACTTAACCCTGTTTGCCTCAATTCCTCATTTGTAAAATAAGCTGGAAAAGGAAATGGCAAACCACTCCAATATCTCTGCCCAAAAAAACTCCAGATGGAGTCACAAAGAGTTGGACACAATTGAACAACAAATAACTTAGGTATTTCAACTAAACATTTAATACTGCCTTATAAGTTTCTATAATGTAATAAAATATCAATATCACTGCGTTTGCTAGAGAAAGATGACTCATTTCACTTGCAAAAAAAAATTTATCTTCTAGAATCTTAACTCTATTAATTTACATTTAAGAAAGAAGAAAAGATTTCAGTAAAACTTCAGCCTGGTTGTTTTGTCTGAATAATCAAATCAGTTGGAAGCCAAAGTAATGAGATCTCATTGTAGTACAAAAGATGGCCCATGAAACAGTAGCATGTTTACTATTCTTTTGTAAAACAAAGGAATTTAAAATTACTCCAAATTATGTCATGTTGATTCATGATGAATTAGTCATCTCAATTTAAAAAAACTAAGCAAAACTTACCTGTGTCCTTCATTAAATCCATACTTTGGGATTCGGAGATAAAATGGAGTCTGACCTCCCTCAAACCCTAACCGAGGCCTGGTTCCTCTCTGCCTTTCTCCTTTATGTCCTCGGCCACATTTTCTACCTCTTCTCCGACCTCTTCTTAATCTTTCCTAGAAAACAAGTGTCAATTCAGTAATATGCAATTTCTAAAAATGTGTATTTTCATCATTTGGACATTTTTATTTTCTCAGACCATAAGTTGTAGAGGTGCAAATCTGCAGTCATTTTCCTCTATTTTGTCACTCCCACTTCCCACACATGAAAATTCAACACTCAAAATTGACTAAACTTCTACAATCAAGCTATTAAGTTTGGACTATTCAAAAGCAAGGCTCAAGGATGAAAGACAGTTATGAATGTGAACTGAAAACTAGAAATCAAACAAGCTCTGAGGCTGAATGAATGTCAAACCTGTGTCAAAACAAAGTAAATACTTTAATATGCTACTAAAATAACTTGACAACTATATTTCCTATTATCCTGCTTATAAGTTCTACTGCACTCATATTTTTGTTTTTAAACTCTTATTTAAGAATACAACTGCTTTAAGTCCTATTATTTTATCTTTCTTTTTTTTAATTACTTGTCACTGATACTTTGTGTAAATTACCAGGTAGCATTTTTGTGTCAAACTATAAAGGGGATTTAGGTGAATGAAACAAGGCTGGTCTCAATGCAATTCTTAGTGACAAGCCGATTCAACGTAAGAAAAAAACAGAGCAACCCAGAGCCGGTCAGCAAATTCCACTTCTGTCATCCTGGACCAGACCTAAAATGCAGAAGCTGCAGAACCTACCTGCACCGTTTTTTTTTTTACCCTCAATCTAATTAAAGGTCCGAAATAAAAATAAATTTATAATTGCACAAGTCTTAATCAAGCAAGGTAAAGAGAGAGAAGATTAGATGCCACTTCTTATCTTCGAAACAGTCCTGAGCTTGAAAGCAAATGTTTCTGCTAGTCTGCTGCTGGCGGGCCATTTATCTGACCCATGCCAAAGCATAACTGGGGGATGGGTAGGCGGGGGGGGGGGGGTGTAACTGTCATGCTTAACACCAGAACCCTAGTGCGAACCAGGGCAGCAAGGCCAGGTTACGAGGGCAGGAGTCAAGCCTGACTCCCTCCCTCCCTCCTCCCGCCGCCCCCGGAGTTGGGGGAGGGGCGGGCCAACGGGGAGAGGACGCATAGGTCATTTCAGTTTTCCATCTGCTGCCATTTACCGGTTTCTTGGAGCCAGGGTTGGGCTTCAGGTTGGCCAGGCTGACACGCGGCAGAGAGCGCAAAAGGTCCAGGGCCTTGGCTCGGCCGCCGCCCCCGCCGCAAACCGGCCCCGCCATGGCAGTTCACCGACCTGCGGCCAAGCGCCTCCAAGAGCGAACGGGTCAGGCGCGGGTGTCCTCGCCCCACATGAGTGCAGCAGGCCCTGCCGCTTTACGGCCGAGGCCCCGCCTCTGTCGCAAAACGAATCCCATCGAATCACGCGATTGCGGCTGCGCCTCGGGCAGCTCAGTCCCCGAGCGGTCAAGGTCGAGTGCGGACGGTCTGTTGTAGGGGCGGCGGCCGGAACCTTACCTAAAAACATCGAGACGCCCCGCGACCTAGGCTCCACTGTAAAAGCCTGCTGGCGGGTCTGCTTACCTCAGGTTGCTTCTCCAGTCCATCCTCCATTAAACCCCTGAAGTGATCTTCCTAAAGCACGTGTCGTGTCATGTTAGCCTTGTACTCAATGAAGTCCAGTGGCTCCCAGTTGCTTCAAGGAGCAAATATAAAATGCTCTGGCGTTCAAAACCTTTAATAACCTAGGCCCCCTCACACCTTTACAGACTTTTTACATCTTACTCCCTGACAGGTATTCTTCAATCCAGTGACACTGGGCTCCTGGCTGTTCCACGAGCACCACGCTCCGTTTGTTTCTTGGCTCTGGCCATCATCTCTGGCTGTCTCCCGTATCCCCCATACCTGGACCGCTTTCCCTCCTATGTTCTGATTACGACCTCCCTGGCTTTCTTTAAGTCCCAACTAAAATCCCTTCTTTTACTGGCAACCTACCCCTGCTCCTCTTAATTTAAGGGCTTTGCCTCTTTTAATTGTTCAATTATTTAATTGTAACTTAATAATTTCTTTGCCCCGTAGATAGCTTGCTTTTCGTATATTTATTTGCATGCTGTCTGGGAATGGGAAAATTCGATTGTAAGCTCGAGAGCATGGACTGTATTTTTTGTATTCCCAGAGCACAGTGCCTGGAACATAGTAGAGGCTTAATAAATGTTTATTGAATTGAGTTTAATTTATTGAACTCGCGCCTTTTGGTCTTAATTCATTTCTAGCGACCAATTAGCCCAGTGATGCATGGTCCTCTCATTTCTTTCACCGGCCAGGCAAATACCAAGGACCCTCCCTAGAGGGACAAATCAGCCTCTTTCTCGGTCTCTGTCTCTCACTGTGTCCCCTGACCTTTTCCCTCCTTAACACTGTAAATACAACCACTCCAGCTCTTCTGCAAATATTGCATTTATTTCGTCACTTTCGAACCTGTTGCAAATTCGTGTCTGTCCCCAGAATGTCTACTTTAGATTTTAAGTCTCCTAATAAAGCAAAGCAACTTTCCATTTCCATTCTCCAATCATAGGATCTAATGCAGGAAAGGACCTTGGAGATCACCTATGTAGTACAAACCCCTCCATTTCAGAATGAGAAATTGAGACTCTGATTGGTGAGACTGTGATTTGCCCTAGGTTGTTCTGGTAGAGCTGGAATTTTAATGTTGGCTCTCTAGCTCCAAATCCCGCTTTCAAAATAGAAATTTTTCTTGAAATCGTTTTTATATTATCATTATTGGTGACAGTGATTGCCAAAATTAAGAGCTGAAATATTTTGAAATTACTTGTTTAATCAGTTAAATATTTACCTGTTTAATGTTTAGTTAATTTTAAAGGTTGTTTTTTTTTACTGTGTATGATGTCATCATAAAGGTCAGGCAATTTCTAAAATTTAAATGCATATTCTTTAAAGTGGAGATTGATGGGGATGGGATCTAGACCCCAAAAAGGAAAAACTGTGGACTTTCTCACATGGCCAAATCTCTGGCGTTTGCCTGAGGCCATCAATTATGGCCTCAAAATTCCATCAATTAGCCTTTCATTGTGGCTACACCCAATCTCCCAATTCTCTGTTACCCTTAACCTAGCCTAGCCCTCCCTATGGCACCCCTCCCCCATTTCCCACACTTAATCCTAGCTAGGCTCCATTGTCCAGGTTCCAGGAGTTCTGTTCAACCCAGTTTACTGCCCACTCTCATCCAGATCTCCTTAAACCCCTCCTCCAGTCACCCCAAACTACTTGGCCACTCCTAGATTTCTCCTACAGTCTTTCTGTATATAAGGTCCATCTTGTCTCCATTAAGATGCTTAGATTCTTATCTAGCCACTGCTCAGATTCTTAAAATCTAGCCAATACCTCACAGACTCTCAGATTCCTCAAGAGTCTGGCAATATGGCATATCTTTAATAAAGCTTGTCTTTGGCTGAAAGAAGGCTTGGGTCAAATTCTTTCAGGCAAGACCCGCATGTAGTCCCAGCACCCCTAAACCTCTAGACCTTATCAGAGAAGTTGCCTAAATACAATGGAAACAAATTGCTTCAAAATTAGGCATCTCATAGGCATTGTGGTGAAACTGTAAGAAAAACAAATTAATTAGTCTTATAAAATATTTGAGAGGTGAGCAGTGGGTATGGAGCCAACTTTCCAGCCAAGAGATCATTCATTTAAGTCTTACTTCTGAAACATCTTGGCTTTCAACCTTGTGCTTAACTTTTTACTTAGTCCCTTAACCGCTCAGTTCTATCTTAAGATGATAAATTACTGAAAAGATACCAATCTTAATTGGTCAATGGAAATTTCTAACTTGGGATTTTCCAGTATCAATGGAATCACAGTCCAATTACTATTCCTATACATTTGTTGTTGTTCCTCCTTCCTTTCAAAGAGAACCAATGACATCAAAAGGTGATATCTTGACTTGCATGTGAATTGGATTTAAGTGAGGCAGAGCTGCACAGCCACCTTTATAGCCTTTGGAACAAATTGTTCTCATCTGCCCATTCCACTGGAGGAAGTCTTTACATGCTTTGGATAGACATCCCCCTAACTCACTGATGGGTTTGAGGCCAGTTTAGGTGTTCAAGGAGACTAGTACCTCTAGTTTGAAGGCTTGCTCATTCAACTTTGTTGTCTACCTCTCAACCAACTCTCACCTGTGGCTCCAAGAAGTGTTACCCCTGGTAAAACCATCTTGGCAGAAGGGTTAAACCAGGATCCTATAGAATGGCTGAACAAGTTGTGGTATATAAATGTAATGGAATACTATTGTGCTATAAGAAATGATGAGCAGGCAGACTTCAAAAAAACCTGGAAAGACTTACATGAACTGATGCATAGTGAAATAAGCAGAACCAGGAGAACATTGTACACAGTAACAGTCACATTATAGAATGACTGACTTTGATAGACTTGGCTCTTCACAGAAATGCAAGAATCTAAGACATCTCCAAAAGACTTACGATGGAAATTTTTATCCACACCCAAAGAAAGAAATATGGAATCTGAATGTATATGGAAGCATACTATTTGCTCTCCTTTTCCTTTGTTGTTTTGTTTTATTGCTTCATTCTCCTGGTTCCTCCCATTAGTTCTAATTGTTCTTTACGTTGTGACTAATGGAAAAATATGTTTAACATTAATGTATATGTAGAGTCTATATCAGATTGTACGCCATCGTGAGTAGGGGGGAATAAGTGGGAGGGAGAGAAAATTTAAAACTCAAAATCTTATGGAAGTGAATGTTTAAAACTAAAAATAAATTAGTTATATATTTTAAAAAAACACCAGGATCCTATAAAATTACTATGAAGTTAGGTGCTATATATTATGCAAAAAGACAAGAGTCCTTATTTCTGTACTTAAATAGCTTTAAATTGAATAGTGTTCACAGATTTCTTGGAAGCGATTTTGTTTTTCTTTAAAGAAAATGGGAAGAATTGACCAGAATGTATGCCCTTGGCTTACAGAAAAAGGTTTTTGGTTTTTTTTTTAATCATAAAAATCTTATTCAGAGAAATACTGAACTTTCTTGTGGGTTTCTTAGCAAAAAAATGTTTTTGAAGAGGTGGGGTGGATCATGGGTAAGATTTACATTGAGCTAAATGAATGTTATAGAAACTTAAATCCAGGTAATATAAAATTGTTTTTTTTACTTCAGCCCATCTAATAATGTGGGATTTTGTGGTTGTTGAAAGTAGAAACTATCTGTTGCACATTTGTTCATTCAATACCTATTACTTAGTGCCTACTAGATGTAAAGTATTATGCTAGGCACCAGCAGAGATACTAAGATTATTAAGACATGATCCCTGCCCTTATAGAATTTAAAATCTAGTGGGAGTAATATGAAAGATATGTAAATAGACTATTAAATAATAATGTTAAAAAGAAAATAAGCATATAAGAAAAGAACAAAAAGGCAGCATAGTATATTGAATGTAAGAAAGATTTTAGGGGGTTAGCCTTCCACAGCAGGATTAGAAATTCCAAGATCTGGTGGATAGTCCTTCAGCCAATCAGAAAGTACTCCAAACTTTTCTATAAACAACTAGTTCTTAAGAAAGAGCCTTAGAGGCTAAATCAGTTGCAACCAGAAAGGTTCAAGGATGGGGGCTTCCACTGGGCAAAGATTTTTCTCCACTATGCTTGCTTAACAAGCTTATTGAATATGAACTGACACACCCCAAGGGCAGAGATAGCTGCCATTTTTTAACATGGGACGCACGAAGTAGGTGGAGTTAACAGAACATGGACAAACATGAAATGGGCTCTCCAGGAAGGGTGTAACTCAGATGAACCAGACCAATAATAGCCCTGATGGGTGGAATATGGATCTTACTAACAGTTTAAAAGTTGTTTCTGCCACTGAACCAGTGCCCACATGCCACTAAAGTACGTTGTGCCCGCTTTCCTTCACTCACTCACTGTAGTAGATTTTTGTTTCAGATTTTTCTAACATTGACTACCAAGCTGGCCTCTGAATCAGAAATGCCTAGGTTCGAGCCCTGGCTCTGATACATTTTGCTTTTATGACCCAGGGCAAATCACAACTTTTCAGTGCTCCCCAGGCAACTCTCAAAAATATTCAGAGAAGGTGCTGCCCTACTTTGGTAGGGAGTTCCTCATTTCCTCTTTGGGAATTTCTTATAACAAGGAAATCATAAGTCCAGACCTATCCCATCCCAAGAAAGTTACAAAGTTGTTTGCTAGGAAAGGTTCAAGGAAGGAAAGCCCATTTTCAACAGCAGAATCAGGAGAAGCTTC